GTTGAATAAGTATGGTGAAAGAATACAACCTTGTCACACACCTTTTTTAATTTTAAACCATTCAGTGTTCCCATGTTCTGTTCGAACAACTGCTTCTTGGTCCAGGTACAGATTCCTCATGAGCATAATAAGTGTTCCGGAATACTCATGTATTCGCAATGTTGTCCAGAGCTTGTGTCCTCTGCTGGATCATTGTGATGGGCAATCTTCAAAAAGTTAATGGAAAAATTTTATCTTTTAATTCCATTTTTCCATGAACCTTTGGAGCCTCTTTTTATTTCATCTTTTACATGTTGATGAAATTATGTATACCACTACCACAACAAAAAGTAGCTGCTGAGTGGTATTATGGGCAACTAAATAGCTCATGGGATTTGTTTCTTTGGCTTAGAGTGTTAGGGTCATGGTTTTATGGGGGCATTTCAGTTAATTGGCCTAATAACGTGTTTAGTGCTTCTGTTCTAACTCCTACTTTGTTGCGTAGTACCTGGGATCTTAAAAGCTTGTAAGTAACCATCCAAAGCACTTCAATTGGTCTCTATTCATCTGGAACATCAGCGGGAAAAGGAGAGTCAGCAGTAGGAGGAGGATATGAAATGTGTGCCTACTAGTTGCCTCCATGAACAGCTGCCTCCATCACTATGAGACCAGAAGAATTGGATGGTATATGGCTACTGTTAATGAACATTTTGATCAAAGATTCTATAGAAGTATCCCCTTCAACAGGGTTAAAATGCAGAAGAACATAATTTCAAATTCTAAACCTTAAGGTCAGCAGTTCGAAACTATCAGCTGTTCCGCAGGAGAAAGATGAGGCTTTCTGCTCCTGTAAAGATTTACAGCCCCAGAAACCTTGTACAGAGTCTCTATGAGTCGGAACTGACTCCACTGCACATAACCACCACCACCACCACCACCATCACCACCAATGGACTATAGATTTTCTGGATTCATTGGGACTGAGTGAACCCCTAAAACCATTGCCCTGATACAGTCTTTAAAATGTAACCATAATATCCCCTGAAATCTTCTTAACACCACAGTGGTTTAGTTTAACTAATAAAAAATGTCTTGCCTTGAGCTTTATGCTCTTTTTTTTTTTAACTTTTTATTGTGAATTGAGAGAAAGTTTGCAGGGTATATCATCAGTTCTACTTTGAACAAATCATATACTTTGTTTCATTACACCTCCATGTACCAGCAATTAACATTATTTCTCTCTGTTCATTTTAGTGCTTTTTTTTTTT